AAACCACACAGCTATCTGACGATGACAATGTCTGCCCTCAGCATTAGAGATTAAAGCTTGGAAGCTACTTTTTTTATGCTTTAACGATTGCATACTTAAATCCAAAATACATATTATGTGCTAGTTTTACTTTTAGCACTGCTGTACAATTGATTAACATAGTTTTATTGCATTAACACCAAAGAATGAGCAACATTAAGGATAAAAGTTAATGCCTTCTGATAAACTGGACTTTAATAAATGCTGGAATTGAACTCAATATCTTATAAAGCTGTTAGTGTGGTTAAAGGTGCTTTTTGAAGGGTGCAACAAAAAAAATAAATAAATAAAAATGACCACAGTTTCAAATAATCCTGTTTTTCCAGCCTGACAACAAAAATCTGAGAATCTATAATGTCCTTTGTCAGAAGTATTACCTCAAACTGCATCTTAACATTTTTTTCCCCACAGGCTATTCAACTTCCAAAGAAGAAAAGCCGTATATGAGATGGGGGGAAAAAGTCACAAGAGCAAAATAACAAAGGCATCATCATAACTCCCTCAGGCTTTTGATAAAACCAGGATGGGTTCTATTTGTCAGCAGAGATGAACATATTTACAGCAGATGCCTCCTGCAATTTATTTCAGCTTAATTTCATCCATCAATGCTCATCATATCATCCCCAGCTTCATAAAATCACTCATTGCAGGGCGGAGAGAAGGCAAAAAAAAAAGAAAGCCATCACCACTTTGTTTTGCCTATAAACATATCCCTAAAAATTATTAATTTTATGTTTTATTAAGAACTCTAGAGCAGATTGAATCTCAGTAATTATTTTAAAAATTGTTGAATCTGTCTTCTTATAGTTTCTTAGCAAAGAAAGACTAAAACATACAGAAAAAAAAACTGAAACCAACAACATCTTCACCTCCCCTGATGTTTCACTTTCAAAAAAGGGAAATCTTTGTCTTCATTATTGACATGTCATGAATATCTCTAATATAAAGCATTTTTGCAAATTATTGTGATCTACAGCACTGATTTGGTCTTGGTGGAGCAATAAAATGTATCATTTAAATTATCTTTATTTCCCACAGGAAAATAAGTTGAAAAGCAAATTATCAATACCTAAACCCCTTCTTTTCTTGATATTAAGTCACATTATTTTGGGAGCCTATTTATAAAACAATCATTTTCAGCCCTAAAACCACATATAAAAAAATAAAATACCTTACATTTAATTTGCTGGCTCAAATAACAAGGTGATATTTTAAAGAAAGGCAACAAACATAAACTTACTTTCGACATTTAAACTTAGTGTAAACAAACAATGACTCAAAGTTAATGTAGGGGATTATAAGGTATTAATTTTAGCTATCATTTTCATTTTATTATGTCTGTAAATTTAATTTTGAATTTCAAGGAATAATTTGTAATACTTTAAGTGCTACTGGTTCTCAAAAACAACCCTGAAATGATGACACAATCTCTCTGAAACTGCTAAAACTGCAACTCTAAAGTCTCATACAGCAGCAAGATCATCAGTGTCATCATTCAAATTAAAGGATTTCCAGTGTTTAGTTTATGCATGCACAGCAAGTCTTTGAACATGAGCCTCAAAATAGAAACTGGGTGCTTCTAAGCTGGCAGATAGGAGCACCAAACCTGTTAGATTAAATCATATCAATCAGAAAGTTCACTTTTATAAAAAAAAAAAAAATATGTCTTTTTTAAGGATTTGGCAATAATCATGAAAAACACAATAGTCCTGTATTTTTATAGCTGGTTAACAGAAAAAGTTACATTTCATAAGAAAATCAGTTCTACTTTTATGACGATCAGTTTCATGATGATTTTCTTAACTTTATAGCCCATTTCTTTTTATTTCATATTAGCCATAGGAGACAAAACTGGCACAGAATTTTAAGATTTTAAAAATATCCAATAAAAACTTTTTAACATGAGATGTGCATGTCTACACTGGAAAACGTGACTAAATTGTCACTTGAAAATCAATGACTTTTTACGCATCTTTCTCCTCAAGAGAAAAAAATAATTTCATATATCCTGCCAATGTATAGATAAGGGAGTACAATTTCAGGATGAAAACATGTATTCCGGTTAACTGCCCTAACATGCATTCCTCAAGCCTGCTTTTTCCAAAAGGGAAAACATGGTGGTGGCAGCATCATGCAGAGGGGTTTTTTCTATTCACATGGAACTGGGTCTTTTCACCAATGTAGATGAAATTCTAATGACTTCCAAATAAAAGGTTTGACACCAAACATTTTGGTGTCTGATAAACAGTAAAGATAACATTTATT